GGCTTTGCCGTTAGGCCCCGCCCAAGGCTGCTTTGAGCTGGCAACTTAGAAAATGGGCGTGGCCTAAGGGAGAGGGCGTGGCTTTACCGTTAGGCCCCGCCCCTCGGATGACCCGGATGCCGGAAGCGAAGACAGGCTCACTCCTCACTCCGTCTCCTCTCCGCCATGTCGACGGCGATGAACTTCGGGGCGAAAAGCTTCAAGCCGAGGCCTCCGGACAAAGGCGCCTTCCCTTTGGATCATTTCGGTAGGAAGCTTGAGAAAACGAAAAACAAAACCCGGGGAATAAGTTTGTCCCTCGCCGGGCTCCGTCCCTCTCTGAGTGGCGCATGCGCACTCCTCTCGCTCACACTCAGGCTCTCTAGAGGTGGGGAGAAAAAGTGTTTGGAAGTCACTTCCGGTTTTAAAGCGACCGTCCCTTTCTGAGTGGAGCATGCGCACTCCCTCGCTCACACTCAGGCTCTCTAGAGGTGGGGAGGAAAAGTGTTTTCAAGACACTTCCGGTGTTAAAGCGACCAAGCCTGATCCCTCTGGAACTGTTTTGGCTCTTCATTTATATATATATTTAAAAATAATAGTAAATATTATTTTACCCTCTTTATTCTGCCATGCAGGAAAAGCGCAATTTTATGTATTATTTACTGCATTTTTACCCTGCTGTGTCTCAACCCCAGTTTGGCAATAATAATAATAATAATTTTTATTATTATTATTGTTATTCACCTCATTTATGTATAATAGGTTGGTATATTTATATATTATATATTTATACATTATATATTTATGTATTATATATTTATATATTATATATATTTATATATTATAATATTATATATTTATGTATTATAATATTATATATTGTATATTTATATATTAATAATAATAGTAAATATTATTATTATTCACCTCATTTATGTATCATATGTTGGTATATTTATATATTATATATTTATATATAATGTATTTATATATTATATATACTTATATATTATAATATTATATATTATATATTATATATATTTATGTAATAATTCAATGCCACGTTAAGACGTAAAAGTCAACATTGACACTGAAATTCAACATTGCCTGAGCTCTGCGAGTGCAGCATTTTTCCGAACGAAGCAGAATATATTATTTGAGAACACAGGAATGCTGGACCACTCTCACAACCACCATGTCA